GCAGGGCTCCGTTTGCCTAGAAAAAGATGACCGCTACTGAGGAGGCTGCCACTATCCAGTTTACCCTGGGGAAACCGGGGGACTGGCTCACCTGGTGCTGTGGAGCCTCCTAACGCTTTCAGTACACAACTAGGATCAACTGATTTGCCCGCTTGCCCTTGGTTTTCAATTCGACGAGCACTGTAAGGATAGCTATTAGAATAAAGTCTCTAAACTACCTGAAAAAGCTCCTCTTACACAGACATGGCTGCTGAAAAGCGATAATGCACCATGTGACCAAGGGAACTGACAGGGACAGATGTGGAATGATACCAGGTCCAGGTGGACATCAGCCCTTAACCAAGATGCACAGAACTAGAATCGCTTCCGGTTTTATATTTTGGGATATTTACACATTCCCGATGAGACATCTTGAGGATGAGACCAAGTCTAAACAGGAAATTCATACACACATTGACAAAGGTGTTTTTTTTGTTTTGTTTTGTTTTTTTTGTCCCAGGGGCACTCAACCACTGGGTCACATTTCCAGCCTCTTTTGTATTTTATTTGGAGACAGGGTCTCACTGAGTTGCTTAGCACCTTGCTGTTGCTGAGGCTGGCTCTGAATTCTCAATCCTCCTGCCTCCCAAGCTGTTGGGATTGCAGGTGTGTGCCACTGTGCCCAATTAGCCCAAGGTAATTTTACAGAATAATTTTTAGTGTCCCTTTGTTGTGACTATGACCTGTCACTTGAGTGTGCAATTCTGTACTGACCTTGAGAATGCTCCTCGGCCAACTTACATTTCACCTGCAAAGTGAGCACGATCATGGTGACCCTATGTTCTGAGAGGTCCACGGCCCAGGGCCAGCACGGAGTGGGTACTCCACCGCGTCATTTCCTACTACTGCCCGCATCCGTTCTGGCCCTAACTCTGGTCTTCACCGAGGACTTTGAGGTCGGTGGTACTAGCCCCTCCGGACCCACAAGGGGCTGAGGTACAACAGGTGACTTTCCTAAAATCACACAGCTGAGGGGCCAGAACAGGGAAGTTAAACAGGCCGGTGATGGCTCCGGGGAGCAGGAAGGCCACACGAGGGCCTATCCAGCAAGTGTCAGTGCAAGGGAGAGCCTTGAAAGGTTGGCTTTGGCTTATGTCACTGAAAAGCTACAGGAACCCACAACAAACACCTAGCAACACGCCAGCCTCCACAGAGGTCACCGGCAACAGCACCCTCCATACCAACAGGTCACTAAGAGCAAGGTCCCAAGCTGCATCTCGACGCTGTGATTGTGTTTTGAAAGTATTGGAATGATTAAAGGGTGAGGGGAATTTTAGTGTGTGCAAAGAATCTCTCCGACATTCGTCACGGTGGAGCCGCAGAGGAAGAGTCCTGGGAGAGGAGGCCCTGATACGGGGGCCTCGAGAGGTCTCTGCACCCTGTGTCACAGCCTGTGGAAGCCACTTGGAACGTCTGACATACTACCTAGAACACAGAACTCGCTGCTCTGAAACCACTGAGCTCTGCAGGGCACAGCCCGATATGACCAGAGGGTGTCATTGACATAAGCCCTGCAAGTCCACACACATCCATGTGGTCACACCCAGCGGGTGCATGTCCACACACGTGCATGCCCACACTATCTGCCTCTACCTGTGTACACGTACACACTACACAACTGCACAGGGTTGGGAGGGGTATCTCACAATGGTGAGCACTGCAGGTCAATGTTATTAACTCCTTTTGGAATCTGTAATTTCCGCATTTTCTACAGTGAACACTTGTGATTTAGAAGCTTTACAAAGCCATGTTTACCAGGACGAGTTCACAGAGGAGACCCTGGAGCCGCGGGGTGGGTTACCACTGCTGGAGGAGCAGCGCCCCTTGACCTGGCACCCCAAGAAGCAGTGCTTTTAATGTCACATCTCCACCTTGCACCCCCAGTGCCCCCAACCCTGCCACATGCCCTGAAGTGTCAGAGGCTGCCTGGCTGGGACCCGCCCGCTCCACCCTGGAGGGACTTCGTTTTCCTGGTAGCCAGCGTCTGCAGCAGGGAGGGCCAGCGCCCCTCAGGCTGTCATCTATCGCTGAATAAAGACCCTTCAGGGCTTCCAAAGCGGAATGTGCACAGGAAACAAATTGGGGAAATCCTGCTTTCTGTGACAGGAAACGGATCCTCCCCCAACTGGTAGAAATTACGCCAGCAGCTCAGCAGCACAAGGAACGCTGGTTTCCCTGCGCTCTGTGTCCACTGACCCAGCCACCGCTGGCCAGGTTTTATTGATATTGAATTCCAAAGGTACAATGTACCCCAGCCCAGCCCATGCGGAATCCTACCGGGATCTGGAAACACTGCAGCCTTCTGAAAGATGCCACTTGAACTAGATTTGGCCCCCTCTGGGTCCCGTGACATATTTCTATAAACACGCTGGTATTTTGCCAAATCCTTTGAAAGAAGTCAGAAGGCAGAAAATTCCTAGCGGCTGCCCCCTCTGTGGGATTACGGCTGCCCCTTTCCTCATCGGTATTTTCACATGTTCCTCTATAGCCACGAAATAACGAATAAATAATGACAGGGGGGTAAACACCCACCCACAGCCACCAACAGGGTGGTGGTGCTGGACTCCATGAGGACACCAGAGACAAAGGAGAATGGCTCTGTTTGTGGTTTGTTCAATCGTGACTCAGAATCTTAGAAAAACAAGAGGAATCTGCAGCAAAGCACCATTAACGGACAGAAGAGATAAAGCGCTATTCACGCCCGGGACAAGAAGCCCAGGAGCCCAAAGCACTCCATGGAAGATTTACCCTTCTGGAAAAACCTCGGCACAGCCCTAAAACAAACGTATCAGAGTTCAGTGGGGACAGCGCAGGGTGGACAGGCGGAATCACCTCCGGAGAGATGCGTATCAGCGGCGCCCACAGGCACAGGGCTGCTGAGGTCCTCCTCAGTGCAGACCCCATCAGAGGGCGCAGGCTCCAGGAAGCACCACGGACATGGTCCTCGTTCACAGCTGAATCTCCTCAGCTGTGTAGCATGCGCAAGGCCCTGGATTCCATCCCAGGAACGCAAACAAATAAGTAAATAAAATGACATTCCCTGGTATCTGCTCCCACTCCCAATGGGCAAAACAAGACCCAACAGAACAAACCCGAGGAGCCTCAAGAAGTTACGAAGATGAGCTGCAGGCCCAGCAGGTCAGCAGACCACCCCTCCTGACCCCTCCCCCTCTGCACACACTCCCAGCTCACAAGTCGGGGGTCGGGCAACATTTCTCTCTCCTAAAAAGCCTGGTTCAAATGTCAACGGTCACGGTCACGGGTGAACTGGGCTCTATGGCTCGAGCCACCCCACCCGCACCCAGCCGTCTGCAAGGAGGAGTCTCCAGATGACAAATTCCGACACCTGAGGACAGGGAAGGCTCATCCCAGTGCCCTTTCCCAGCTTCGAAAAGGCCCTCGGGTGCCCTCGCCAACAGGCTCCCAGATGCTGCAGATTAGCCCAGACTTTCAGGCACTTCCTTCACTCAGTGAAGCCCCCCTTCCCAGAGGGAAGGGAAAAGAACCGGAGACGTGGCAGCATGGGTAGAAGAATAAAATGGCTTTTTGAAAAAGCTGGAAACACTGGCAATTGGTATCATGAGCCTTAAAAATACCCAATCAGACCACCAGGGTTACTGCCTGCCTACCAATGTCCCCAACAACCCTATGGTGGATCCTGGGGTTCAGGGACATAGAGGCAGAGCCAGGGGCGGCCACCCACGGGTGAGGCTGGGACTCCAGGATTCGGGTGCTCTATGCCTCACTACTCCAGGGACATGGGCTGCAGAGGCAAAGACTCCGTGTGACGAGCCCTCAATACCTGTTCAATGAGGAGCCCCACCGCACCACTTCTAGAAATGTTAGGTCAAGTGTGCTCACTGCAAAACGCTTCTAAACACGGTTGCTAAAAATGAGGACCAACCCAGACACAGCGCTACACACCTGTGCCCTGTGACTCGGGAGGCTGAGGCGAGGCCCTCAGTGAGACCCTGCCTCACAATAAAAGATAAAAAGGGCTGGGGATGTTGCTCAGTGAGTGCATGCCTGCATCCAACCCCAATACCAAAATAAATAAGTCATGGAAATGAATATCAGGTCTAACCAGGTTCTAAGGACATGAGCACAGATAAAGATGTTAAGGCACACACGCAGCCACCCTGAAGTGCTGTTAACCATGTTTGAGAAAATTGGCAAAGATGAGAAAAAAGTAAGTGAAAAAAACAGTGGACACGAAACCACGTCTACATGAGAAGTCCCATCTGACAAGGACATCTGTATGTACATGAAAAGACTGGACGGCCTGCTCAAACCCTGGCCCTGCCCCCGGGGCTGCGGCTACCAGACCAGCTGGTGAGGGAGATGGCGAACAGCCCTGCAGACAAGACCTCAGCGGAGTGATCACAGGAAATGCCACCAGGAGCAGAAGCCACCAATGTCAGGGGCTCCTGACAGCGGGCACCCAACAAGACAGAGCCACAGTGCACAGCCCACAGTCCCCAGAGGGCACTTCCGAGGGGGCCGATGTGACCTGAACACTCGTAGAGCCAGTACCTGGAGGTGGCAATAGGCTCCTCTTCCTCTTCATGTCTTTCCAAAATATTTGGATTTTTTTTCACACTGAATAAAAATTATTCCTACTGCTGGGCACAGTGGCCCACGCCTGTCATCCCAGTGGCTGGGGAGGCTGAGGCAGGAGGATCGCGAGTTCAAAGCCAGCCTCAGCAAAAGCGAGGCCCTATGCAACTCAGTGAGGCCCTGTCTCTAAATAAAATACACCAAAGGGCTGGGGACACGGCTCAGTGGTCCATTGTCCCTGAGCTCATTCCCTGGTACCAAAAACATTTTTTAAATTGCTCCTATTATCAAAATCAAGGTTTTCTTGGAAAGAGAAAGGAAATGGGAAAGAAGTTGAAAGCAGCGTCACAGACATCTGCGCTCCCGGGGACAAGGACGGAGCTGGCCTCCGCGCCTGCCGTTACCTCGTCGGGGCTGGACGCCTGGTACACGCGGCAGGAGTCCTCATACTGCTTCTCGGCCTCCGCCTGGTCGGTCACACCGTTGGACTCGTACACGGGCGTCACGTTGTGGCAGAGGGCGATGGCCTTCACGGCCTCGTGCACGCGGCTGCTCATGGTCCGCCGGACCTTGGTGGTGACAGTGGGACCCTTCTGAGCTGGCGGCTCCTGAGACTGCTGCAGGGAAGAAAAGCGAATGAGGACAGGGAGCCAGCGCACTGCCACCGCTTCAGCCCCCGTGACCCAGGTGACGAGGACACCTCGCTTCCAGGAACCTAATCTTTTAACCTCAGCAAAAAACAAACATAAAGAGGGGAAAATTACACCCTGATAAATGAACGTCACTCTGCCTATGGACAGTGTGAGCCTGTCTTCTGGGGACGGTGACAGGGGTGTCACGGTGAGGACTCTATGGCACTGAAGGGGGTCCTGGCATTGGGGGGCAGGGCTTCTGCACCAGGAACCACCAACACGTGGGCTGGGCCAGTCGCTGCTGTGGACGTTGGCGAGCGTGGTAGACCACCAGCTACCACTGGTGACAGGAGGCCCAAAGTAGGTCACCAAGGGTCCAGTGGGGGACAAAACCATCCTCAGTGTAGAGCCACTGCTTTAAATGTGCCTCCTCTGGGGTGTGCAATGGAAGGTGACGACTTCAGCAGATGCCAACAGAGCCACAGTGGGGCGACCCAGGGCAGGCCCCCCAAGGCGTATCAGTGACATGCAAACAGGAGGGTCGTGGGCAGCCGTGCTGGGAGCTCTCTGGGCCTCAGTTTCCTGAAATGGAGAGGGGAGGCTGGCGGGCCTGGTCTTACACAGCTCCACACCCAGCCTAGGAACGTCCTGCAGGGCGCTCAGCACCAAGCGTGGAAGAAGGGGGACGGCAGCACGCAGCCCCCTCCCACCCATGTGACGCACCAGGTGCCACCTCAGCCTGCCTTTGAAGGAAGGGCTCTACTGCCTTGGAGTATGATAACAAGTATGGGACTGGGGTGCAGCTCGGTGCTCGACAGGGTGCTCTGCCTGAGAGAGGTCCTGGGGCCCACCGGCACCAGAAACAAAAGGATAAGACCACTGGGGGAGACCACTTGTTTTTAGTGCCAGGAATCGAACCCAGAGGGTTCTACCACAGAACTACATCCTTAGCCCCTTATACTTTTTGAGACAAGGTCTTGCTAAATGGCTGAGGCTGGCCTTACACTTGTGATCCTCCTGCCTCAGCCTCCCGAGTCTCTGGGATTACAGGCCTGTGCCACCACACCCAGCTAAGACCACTTGTGAATGAGATGCCTTCCCGTGGCACATGGAGCCCCAGCCAGCTTCCCGCTATCCGTCGTCTTCCTCGGTCATCTGCTCCAGCCACACCGGCCTGTCTGTTCTTTGATCTCCCACAGTTCTTCCTGCCTCGGGCCTTGAGCACCTGCTGTGGCCTCTGCCTGGACACATGCCCCAGGCTTCTGCAGCAACTCGGATGTCACCTTCTCAGAGAGGCCCTGGGTGACCTCCCTTTCCACTGCAAGTCACTCACCAAGCACCCTGTGTGTCACCATCTTCACTGCCCACGACTGGCTTCTTGTGCCTGAGGATTCTCTCTTCCATCCCATTGAAGGAACAGAGAGCTTGCCCCTGAGAGCTACTCACCACTGTGTCCCTAGTACCCAGGGCCTGGCATGCAACAGCTACCGGCTGAATGAATGAACAAGTCCATAATCTATATCCCTGAGGTGGCGACAGGGAATTCTCAACCAGCATAGACTTTTCCCCATTTCCCCAGGAGGAATAAATATGAAATTGGCCGGCTGCGGGTGTGGCTCAAGCGGTAGTGCGCTCGCCTGGCATGCGTGCGGCCCGGGTTCGATCCTCAGCACCACATACAAACAAAGATGTTGTGTCCGCCGAAAACTAAAAAATAAATATTTTAAAAAAAGAAATTGGCCAAGTCAGTTCCAGATTTTTAAATCACAGTTTTGAACAAAGGATCGCCTGCAGCAGCTTGAATTCTGGAAGCCAGAAATGTTTAGGGAGCTTCCGAATTCTACATTTAAAAAAAAAAAAACAAAACTTATCCAACAGGAGCTACGTGATCTTTCAGGATGAATTGCGTTTGGTATCCGTGACATGCGGCTGCCCCAAATAGAGAACAGATGGGTCACAAGAAGCAAGAAAATGACTTTCGTTAAATTTTTTAATACTATTTTTAGTAGTGCATTAGACTCCCCAGGTAATTAGACAATTACTAAATTATTCTGGTCACTGTGGGGACATGCCGTGCTCCGGCTTCCGGCTCTGTTAACCTCTGGTGTCAATAGCACACGAGTTTCACTTCCAGGCCAAAGGGCACTGCATGGTAACAATAATTAGAGTAATGAATCAGAACCCCGGTTTCAATGAATCATTATTTGCCAAGTGCTTTTAATTATAAAGAATTTAACTTTAAAATATAAAGAGGACTGAAGATTTACAGAAAAGGTCTCTCCTGGAGAGACCAGCAAGAGTGTTTCCCCGCGGCTCGTGATTTATGTCCTACATAAATGTATCTCGTGCAGCCGCCGACACGTGTCTTCATTTTCACCCACATTCCTTGGCACCTGGGCCAGATCATTATTTCAGATCAGGGGCAATAACAAGGCCTTTGACAAGGTAATTGCCGCGGGTAGCAAGTTTCAGTGAGAGTGGGCTGGACAGGAAGGCAGAGCGAGGGGTGGCCTGGGGACCCCTGGGGTTTCCTAGAGAATCTGATTCCACAGAGGGGAGACGCTCCCCTAATACTTCACTGGGGACAGCACAGAACCCTGGGGTCTTGTGTTCTGGGCAAAACAATGACAACAAGGCAAGAAGAGGAGCAGGCTGCAGGGTCTCCCGAGTCCTCACTTTCAAACCGGGGAACCGCAGCAGAAAGCCAGAATGGTGGCCCCAGCCAGCATCCCTGGTGACAGGTTTAACGTGGCCACCTTCATCAATTTGTCCCTCACCATCTGCCCTGCTTCCCTACCAAGAGGTTTCAGAGAGGAGAGGGACAGCCACAGGTTTCCGCAGGCCGAGGGGCAGGCGCACGCGGCTGAGCCCCACCACCGAGCGCTGAGCGGGCGCAGGGCTGGGTTCTGGGCCCCGTCTCCAAAAGGCCCCCGGTGCCCATATGGAAGAGTTTCACGTTGTACAGTGTTTACCCCTAACCTCCTCCCACGGGCCCTTTAACCTACACACATTTCTTCTTACTTAAAAAATACCAGGGGAAAACAAAAACAGATGTGGCAGCCACGGAGCGGGTTCGACTCTGCCCCCGGGGAGAACGCCGGCCCCCCTCAGGAGGGAGGGGCCACACGCACCAGGAGGTCAGAAACGATGTCACCACCACCGGCAAGTGCACATGGGGAGGGAAACCAAGATGCTCCCAAAAGGCCCCTGGCAGGGCCCCTGGGAGGGCATGTGGCATCAGGGCACCACCGAGACTCCATCCCACACAGCACAGGAGCCACCAGGACTCAAGGAAAAGTCGGCGTCCTTATGTCACCCATGACCGGTGGCAAGGCCACTTTCCCACAAGAATCTCAGGCAGTGTGACAGGAAAGATTAACACCTGAATTCACCGTTGGGTCATCGTGAATCAGTCGTCTTTCCAGATGCAGTTAGAACGTCACCACGCATGAACGTTGGTGATGTTAATGGGTCTTGTGAGGGCGGGCAGTTGGTAGCCACTGCCGACGACAAGGAACTGCTGTGGGGCGGCCCCACCCCCAGAGCAGCTCCCAAGGGTCACGCCATGGAGACAGGCTCAGAGCTGCCGCCACCAAGGGAACCAGCAGGGGTGCAGCGGAGCCCGCAAGGGGCCAAGGCGTTCAGTGAGCAAGTGAGACCCGGACTTCGCTTAAAATTTCAATATTTGTTCCTTGTGGGGTTTGTTTGTTTGTTTGTTTTTGAACTGGAGTTGTTTTAAAGATTGCATTAAAAGCCAGTGGGGTGGCACACACCTGTCATCCCAGTGGCTTGGGAGTGACCTGAACACAGAAGATTCCAAAAATAACATATTTTAAATGAATAAAAAGACAAAGTAGGCTCTGTGTCCACAAGAAAAACTCACAGATTAAAAAAAAAAATTCTTCCTTAAAAAATATATATATATATAAACTGAGCCTCCTTCATGTTTCCTGTGGACACAGAAAGTGAGACTACCATTTGGCACGCAGGACACAGTGACAAACTGTACACATCCTGTGCACCAACTCACACTTGGTCATGAAAACACTCCGCACCAATTTCAATAAGCCCCAAACATCATCAGAGACAAAATACTACGTGGAAAAGGACAGGCGCAGATGGAAGTACGTGGGTTAAAAGAGTTACGTCTTTTGGAAGATATGAACTGACAGAGACCCAGCAGGTGAGGCGCACCGAGCCCTGGGTGGGGGGTCTGGGTGGGCCCCGTGGCCGCCACAACGCCTCATCTCTGTCTCAGACGTGTGTCAACTAGTCGAACCAAGGCATTTCCGCTTGCTGGGAGGGGGTCAAGTAACATAGAAACTCTAGGTAGGAAGACCAGGTGCCTTGAAACCGTTTGGTCATGTACACGCTGGGGAAAACACTGGGGGATGGCCCCCATGTTTGCACATTTACCTAGTAGCAATATTGGGTTCATTTATTGAGAATAACAAAAAAAAATAATTCTAAAATGTTGAAAAAAAATAAGTCTCAATCACCAACCAAAACCTCAGAATGACACAATGACACATACTCAGGGTAAGGGCGCCGAGAACTACAGATTCAAATTTAAGTTTCAAATCATCATCTCTGCCGTTCAGCAGAAGAGAAGTGCTTCACAGATGCTCCAAGCTGGAGCGGACCCAGGAACACTGTGCCACGTGGAGGAAGCCAGACAGACAGACGGCCACATGCCGCTGAGGTCCATGACTATGCCAAGTCCAGAGGGGCAGACTTGGGTAGACAGGGTGGACTGGTGGCTGCTGGTAGCTGGGAAAGGGGGTGGAGGAAGGGACAAGGGGGTCTGGGGGGTGTGGGCTTCTCTTCAGGGTGATGGAATGTTCTGAAATTAGCAGCCATGGCTGCACAGAATTGTAGGCAATGCTCAAAACCACGACCCATATGCTTTTTAAAAGGGGGGAGATTATGGTTTTTAAAATTACATCTCGATTTTAAAAACAGCTACCCATAAACGGATCAATAAGCCAGGGGAGCATCATCACCAGGCTTTGGCCTGCTGGGGCCTGACCTCCTGCTGGGCTGACCGTTTCCTTTTGTTTATTTAGCCTGGCATTAATAATCTGCAGTCTCCTGCCGGAATCTTTTAAAACTGCCCCGCCGTCTTTATGAGGTTAGTTTAGTTAAATAACAGCCTTAAAACCAGTCACCTGGACACTCGTAAACCGCAACCTGCCTTTTGACACACTGAGAATAAGCAGCTGTGGAATCTGGGGTCCTCCTGCGGGGCCCTTCCAGGACTGGACCCGACAGGTGTTCACCCAGGCATGGTGGGCGGGCCCTGGGTCACCCTCGGCCCCGTGGGTCAGACCTACATTTTGCACTGATCCTGGGGATGATGGGTGCTCTGACCCTTTCTCCTTGCTCCCCGGTGGGGCACCTTACAGACTCTCAGGTCCACAACTCAGGTGCTGGAGTTTGAAAGGAAGGGTGAGCCTGAGTCACAGCCACTGTTCTGTGCCCCGACTCGCCTGGGTCACCTGTTACAGGTGAGCGCAACTCCCACGGCTTCCGACTGGTGGCTCAGGTGATGTGGCCCAGGGTCCCCAACACCACACTTTAAGAAAGACTGCTACAGAATCATTGCTAAGCCCTGAAGGCTGTGGAGGGAGTGCCATGGGCCCAGGGTACCTTTGGGTGTGGGGGCATACTCTAAGGTCACGATGGAGACATAACTCTACATCCACTAACAGTCACTGAATTGTGCACTTAAAGTGGCTGAATTTTGGGGGTGTGCAGTCAGTAAAGTTGGCACAAAAATAGGAGGAAGTCCTCATGTCTTATCACAGAAGGAGTTGTGTGCTCCCTGTAGGACCCTGACGTGTCCAGACAGGAAGCTGACGGCCTCCCCGGGTGGGACTGTCCTCTAATATGAGCTCACCCCCAACCCTGAGCAACCGCAGACCCAAGACCCGCAAGGCAAACCCACTCAGGAGCTTCTGCCCCGGAGGGAGCACGCGGCAGATGCGTTCATGACAAGAAATGTTCTCTGACTTTTATCACTAAGAGCGCTATCTGCGTGAAGCCACAAACGAGCCACAAAAGGTCAAATACACAAGTATCCCAGATGGGCCGGCTTCTGTCCACACCACAGGCTCTTTAAAATACCAGCCAGACGGGCAGGGTGCTCCTCTGCGGGTCCACACCGCCACCTATGGAGCTGTCTCGTATAATCGTCACCATGTCAACACACCTGCGGACACTTAGCAGGTGCTGATAAGCAGGACAAGCTGAACAATGAACCCTCAGGAGGAGCCTGGGAGGAAGGAGGTTGGGGGGTGGGGGTTGTTGTGGGAAGAGGAGGGAGAGGCCACCCCAGGGCACTGGAGAGGAAGGAGGGCTGCGCTGCAGGTGTGGAGGGAACAGTGACGACCCAGCCAGGGAGCTCACTGCTCCTGGGTGCTCCTGGGTTGGAGGAAGAGACAGGGAAGGAGACAGGACACCACTGTGGACAGCCAGGCAAGGGAGAGGGTCATTACTGCCGGGTTAGTGGAGAGGCCTGAAGACAAAAGGCAGGTGGCCTGGTAGAAGCAGGTGCCACGGGCCAAGAGGTGCCTGGAGGCTGCAGGTGGCAGGGAGAGACCTGGGAGGTCCTTGGTGAGTGGTGAGGTAGGTGAGGGGCATGCACTAAGGCCAGCACCTCTGGAAGAGAGGCAGGTGGAGGGGATGCAGGAAGCAACCAGGATCTGGGGACACGCCCTTGGGAGCCCAGCAGTGACGCCACATATGCAGGGTTCGGTGTGCAGGTTCATTCAGGGCTGGAGGCCAAGAGGGAGCAATCAGCAGCTACAGGGGAGGCCCCCGGGACCACATAACAGGGCCCAGGACCAGCACGGGAGACCCTGAGACAAAACAGCCACACAAGGAGAGAGAAAGGAATGGGCACTGTGTGGCTTGTCCTCCCCATCCAGTGACACTCCTCATAATTTTTTAAGTCCTAAAGAACATCTCTGAAAAAGGTCCACGGACCCATTTGGAGACCAGCCCTAATGCTGACCCACGGAGCCTACAAGATTATAAAGGCTTCTCTGCGGTTGTAGATGGCCGACGTCGTGAAACGTGTCCAATTAACTGTTCTCCATTTAACACCTACCCTCATGTCCACTGTTAGGAGGGAGCCTGCAAATCCAGGCTGTCCAAGCCAATGTTCCAGAACATTAAATATCAACTATAACCACATTGGGAAGGGTTCGTGGATTCTGCCTTTAACCTTTACAGAGAGATATTTATTTCTTTTTCTTTTTTTTTTTTTTTTTTTTTGGTGGTGGGGAGGGTTACTGGGGATTGAACTTGGGGGCTGTACCTATGAGCTATGTCTGCACACCTTTTATATTTTGAGACAGGGCCTCACTAAGTTACTGAGGCTGGTTCAAACTTGGATCCTCCCGTCTCAGCCTCCTGAACTGCTGGGATTACCGGTATGTGCCACCTCACCCTGCAACACTGACATTTTAAACTGGATTTCTAAGTAATGACTATCTGTTTTGACAAATTTAGGCTAATGTGGCCTCATCATTCTCTTGTTCTCTCCAAACAAGTGTCTCTTCAGCCTGGAGCTGGCCTCATGGAGTATCCATCTTCCCTGCACGTGCCTCAGAACTACCCAGGGCCTTATGCGTCTTGTCTCAACTAACTCTTAACACAAGCGGGGACCCTGCCCTAAGTGGACCTGAATCTCTAGAGTATCCAGCCCAATCAAAGCACCACCCGCAATTCTAATGAGCAGCAGTAGTGGGGACCCACTGGCCTACCTTTTAGGAATATCTGTGAAAGAGTGACCGCTTGTAAAAAATGTAGGGGGAAAAAAGTGAGAGCAGTAAGTTGAGTCTTCTGATAGGTTAGTTTCCTTCACAGATCACCAAGTTGACCACAGACAAGAAACTAAAGGTAACGACACCATGATTCGTGCATGAGACCATCGGTGACCACTGCTCGGCTCAGAGCCGGGGAAAAGGAAAACAGACTGTTCTCTAACTTGAGTGTGACCAACCGACAGGCGCTCAGAGCTCCTTGTGGCACCAGATGCTGGGCAAACAATTTTTTTTTTTTTTTGCAAAAAATAAATTTTTGTAGTTGTGGATGCATACCGCAACTTTTATTTCATTTGTTTATTTTTATGCGGTGCTAAGGATTGAGAGCCCAGTGCCTCACACTGCCAGGCAAGCACTCTGCCACTGAGCGCCAGCCCCAGCCCTGGGCAAACAACTTTATCTTGGCTTCTCCCAGTGTCTGTTAGCATTTCAGTGGGGCAGACTCACCCTGCAGACGAGGAAGAGGGGAATCATCGTCCACTATGACTTCACTCAAAATGTAAAAGACTGATGGTGATGTACATTTGGGGAGCAGATACTGGGGACATGGGGAGCAATGCTGAAGGGTACAGGGTTTTCTCTGGATTGATGAAGGTAAAACAGATCATGAGGATGGCTGCCTAACGGTGTGAATGTAGTCAAAACTAGCAATCATACATTTTTAAACATACAACTTAAATGTGGATAAACTTACACTGTTGTGATTACACCTCAATATAGCCATTAAGAAATGTGCAGGCGCTGTCTTGGGGACTTCAAGGGAGGGCTTTACCTGGGTGTAAATACTAAATATGTGGCTTTGCACTTCATCCATGGAGTCCAGGCCATAGGCCACCGTTCCCAGGTGAAGGCGCTTGAAAACCATCTCATTCTGGGTAAGAGTTCCTGAAACACAAGACAGATGAGAACAGGGACCCGATACTTCCGTGTCACCCACTGGCTTCAGCGCTGCCCCCGCTGGAGTAGGCAGGAGAGGTCCCCTTCCCCTGCTGGGTTGCCATGGAAACATGACCACACCCATTCTCTAGGCCGGCCAGGAGGACTGTCCATCAGGACAGCTGCCGTGTTCCCTTGACAAGAGGGTTGTGTGTAAGGTACCCCAGGCCAACCAGATTCTACCTGGGAGGAGCCTGACCCTTGAGCAGAGAGTCACGGATGGAAGATGAATAGTCAAGTCACCCCAACGGCACAGCCCTGCCGAGACCGTCCTGGGGGGACGGAGACTGGTGTGTCCAGAGCCTTCCTGGCCCTCTCCTTCCTGAAACCTGGCTTGGCTGTTCTGGGGAGCTACCTGGTATCTTTGCAGCAACCTCCCTCCTACGCTGCAGCCACTAACTGGAGGAGAGGAAGGTTAGGCTCCGGTCGCCACCCCCATCTTTGTTCCTCCCCACTGCGAGGACCTCAGTCAGACAGGAGTTAAAGTGGGGAGCAGAACTGGGGTGCGGTGGTGATACAAGGACTGTGGCCAGACTGCCCGGGTCCCATGCCTCCTTCGGCCACTCTGTGCCTGTGACAGCACTTAACCTCTCACTGCCCCTTTCCTCATGAGGAAAATATGTCCTCAGCACGGGGCTGGCACGGGCATTAACCAAGTGACCATTCACAAACTCCAGCACGGAGCGTGGCGTTAACTAGTCCCATGGAAGCCCCTGCTGCCACCACCAGCAGCCTCTACTCGTCCCACAGTGAGGAGAGAAACCGCAGCAGCTTCTTCCCCTCCAGAGGGAGAGCCCCCGCTCCTCCTCGAGCACGGCACCCCCCTCCCCTCTCCACCCCCTGCAGGGCACTGTGCACCGGGTGCTGCGCAGGCCGCAAGCGCTCACCTGTCTTGTCTGTGAGCAGGTAGGAGATCCTGCCCAGCTGCTCGGGGATCGTGCTGGAGCGCACCACCGTCCCAGGGATTTTGGAATCCCGGCGAATCACCCAGCTGTACACGATCTTGCCCATGTCCAGGTTCACACGCAAACTGGGCAGAAAGCCAGAAGGAGCAGGTTAGAAGGACAAACAGAAGGCCCGAATGTGTCTTCACACCAACAGTATGGACTCTAAACACACCGCGCCCCGCAGTGAGCACGTCCACACAGTGGTGCTACCGTCGTCACCCTGACTACTGTAGGGGCCTCCACAGTGGGAACAGATGGGACTTCTGCCCTTGTGTGTGGCTTACTCCACAGGGAGCAGAATGTTCTCAAGGGTCGTCGGCAGCACCGGATGTGTCAAAATGTCCTTCTTTTTCAAGGCTGAGTAATATTCATTTACGTATGTGCTACTTGTTTTAATATTGTTTAATATAGTAGTATTTATTATAATTCATTATTAAATTCATTCTTTGTTACCAAAAGATAGAAATTTTCAAATTATTTCATGATCTCATAAATTAATCAAAATGCATGCCATTGTACTAACTAGCCCTGATTCATATGAAAATTCACTTTGCCTGAAATCCAAGCAACTCAGGGCTGAGGCGGGAGGATCACCCGTTCAAGGCCAGCCTCAGCAACTTGTTGAGGCCCTAAGTAACTTAGTGAGACTCTGTCTCAAAATAAAATAAAAAGGGCTGGGGATGTGGCTCAGTACCCCTGGGTTCAATCCCCAGTACAAAAATTTAAAAACAAAAACAAACAAACAAAAACATGACTCCACTTAGGATCACACTAGAAAGACTTGTATCACCAGCAAAAAAGCAGACTTATTTGTTCGCTGAGACCACCCTCCAGAGTGTGCTGGCCAGGACACAATACCCTGCCCTGAGGGAACAAATCCTACAACAGTCTCCATCCTGAAAGAGAAACAAATTCTAACCTGGATAACAAAAATATGCAGAACACAAGACAAAATGCAAAATAACACATACCAAGGGTAAGAGAGACTGTAAGTGTGATAAGTTTCAGGAAAAATGATATTTAGTTTAATTTCACTAATCATTTATAATAGAAGAATAACAGAATTATGCAGCAAAGACAATCAATCATCACACCTACAAAATACAGTTCTAAAAACTGCACAGGCATATTTGCTGGGAAAGATTATTTCTAACAGTGCTCTGATTTTTTTTTTAATATTTATTTTTTAGTTATAGGTGAACACAAATGTCTTTATTTTACTTTGTGGTGCTGAGGATCGAACCCAGTGCCTCACGCATGCTAGGTGAGCGCTCTACCTCTGAGCCACAACCCCAGCCCTGCTCTGATTTTTTTTATATGCAGATTTTATGTACAGACGAATTTCCTTTTCTCTAAATAGAAAGAGGAAGAGCTTATCACCTTGGTTGTAGGATTGCAGGTCATTTTTTCTTTTCTCTTTTTTTTTTTTTTGCTAATGTGAATGTTCACTCTTCCTACTATGACATTCCACTATGTAAATTATTATTTTTAACAGGAGAGGAACCTAAAGGCTTTATTAATTTTACATGTTCGGGTGATCCTCACAAGAGAGCAGAGTGCGCAGCAATGGCCAAAGCACGATGTATGTGTACTTTTTACCCTAAGAATAATGGATCTGTGAGGAAGTGGCAGGACACATGGGCGTCTGGACTTGACTGAACTCTGTGGGTGTTACTATGAGAATATGGGATGGAGCTAGTGGAAGATGAGGGCTGCTGCAAGGTTTTCCCAGCCACATTCGCTGCAGTCCCAGTTTCCAGTCTTGGTGATCAATGCTGTTCGGGCTCTGATATGTGCGGGACAGCCCTCCAAAGAGAATCTGCATGTCTCGGGGCCCGTAGGGAAGGTCAGGCCAAGGGCCCTTCCTGAAGCTGCAGTTCCTCAGTGAGGTCATGAGCATATTGACTCAGCAGACTTGCTTCCATTCCTTGGCATGAAATGTATTCAGTGGGCTTTCTAAGGAAAAAGTAAATTGTATCTTCCAAAGCATGAAGACCCCCAAAGCAGCGGTCTCCTTCATATTTGAGGAAATCCATAAAAATTCAAGGAAAGGCGTTCAGAGGAGACGGGAGGGTTGGAGGGAGCCTCCTCCGCTGCAGTGTGGCTCACTCGCTCCCTGACTGCCCCTGCTCCCCCTAAGGGCCACAGGGCCACGGTCCTGCAGTGAGCAGAGGGAAGCAGACCTCCCAGCACCCACAACCAGCCCTGCTCACCTGATGGGAATGATGTTGGAAAACAGGAGGAGGAAGCGGATGATCTGCAGGTACCAGCGGCCAGCAAAGTGCTGCAGGGCCACCATGACCATTGAGACCACCACCAAGGCGCCAAAGAGGATCTTGGTGAGGCAGTTCACCTCCAGGTCAAACAGGCCGATCTGTGGGCGAAGCAAGAGACTCACAGTCAGCCGGCATGGCCCGCAGCCCGCGGAGCTGGCCCTGCCCCGGGGACTCTCCTTCCCAGCAGAGGACGCTGCTCGGTGGTTGGAGGTCAGAACAAACACTCAAAGGACCTCAGAGAATTCTGAGTTCAAAGTTTTGTGGTTTTTTTTTTTTTTTTAATAACTTCAGAAGATTTAGATACAGAAACACAGGAGCCCGCGACCTCAACGCTGGGCTGCCCTGCGCTCTGCACAGCCCCTGCCACCCTGCACAGTGGCCTTGGGAAATGGCTGGGATCCTACACTCGCAGCACCATGCCACAGGACCTCTGGGTGCTGCCTGGAAGTTCTGGGCACCCAGGGTCCGATGCTGCCTTATGGACATTATTGTTTTAATAGTTATGCGTTTATTGTCATGTGTCTTCCCTGCAAGATGTAACTAGCCCATCGAAGCCACAGCTTCAAAAAACATGGCCCAGAACAAGGCTAAACCAGCACGTAAGCATGTGGAGAGGGTTGGTGGAGGCGGTGACGAGTCTGGGAAGCACAGCAGTCGCCCGCTGTACCAGCAGAGAAAATCACTCTGCCACAGTCTCTTAAAACTTGGAGACGGGAGGGGCTGGGGGGGTCACAGTGTGGGGGGAGTGACGATGGGGGTGTCAGCTGATCCAATTGCATGTCCGGCCACAGCAGGGGCTCCTGGGGCGCTGAACCCCACAGGCCTGCCCTCTCCCACCAGGAGCCCGCGGAATGTCCCCTGCATGACATGAGGAAGGGCCACGGAAGTCACCTGCACTCGTGGGGCTGTGTGAGGACTGACTGATTTTTTCCTGCAGTGCTAGGAGGGAGCTCGGGGCGTCCACTGCCCTGCACCCCAGCCCTTGCTATGAGGGGGAAACAGGCACCCATGGAGGCAGCGACTCTCACCTGCGCGTCCTCGACAGCTTGCCTTAGCTTACGAGCTGCTAAAACCTCCTGTGTTCACGTGTGAATACGGATGTGTCTATACAGTGTGTGAGTGTGCGCACACACACACAGGGAAAGAACACACCTACATGTGCATGAAAGAACACTGCCAGTGCCCCTGCTTTTGGAGCTGACCCTCACCCACCGACATTGCTCCTGGCGTGCCAGGGTCGCCATGTGCCGGGGGCCCCACCCACCTTACTGCGCGGGTTCGAGGTGTTCATGACGCTGCGGAGCTCTCTGCCGGTGTAGAGGACGACTCCCACAACCGTACCTGGAACGAGACCCCGTCCCAAAACACATCAGCACACACAGGCGGCTATCGAGCGGGAGTCGGACCCCACTGACACCACGCCACGGGAACAACCGGACCTTGGGCCACCAAAGATCCATGGCTGCACTGAGCAGCAGGACAAGCCGCTTAAATTAACCTCCAGTCAAAATTAGATAAGCTACAGAGTTCCCCTTTCTCACCAGCCGCATTTCAAGTGTTTGACAGTCACATGGGGCTAGTGGCCGCCTGGCACGACAGCAAAGAGTAGAGCATTCTCCTCGCTGTGCAAGGTTCCACTGAGCAGTGCCAGCCTGGGAGTCCAGAGGCCTCTGATGGCAGGAGAGTCGGGGATCGAGGTGGTCCCTGGTGCCATCAGCCTCAGAGGCTCCCAGGAGTGCATGGAACATCTGGGCCTTTGGACACCATCAGGGAAACTTAAGACTACACCCTTCTTTCCTGAGTGTATTCTTCCCAGTGAGGCCGACTGCTTTCTGACCCTGTGTCCAGCGTGGCCATTTGGGAGCCTGTGTAAAGGGAAATCCCTTCCCAAGAACTGCCCTTCCCCCTCCACCCTCCAGGCACAAGGAAAGACCGGGGCCTCTCCAGGAACAACCAGTTCACGGAAGAAAGACAAGCGGCCAGTTAACGTTAGAAAAGTTGCTCAACTGAGTGGAGGATCAAAGAAGCGCAAACCCAAGCCTGCTTACCCCCTAGGTGGGCAAAAGTTCAAGACTGACAATGTCCCGCGTTGGCCAAGAGGTAGGAAAATGGATCCTGCCACACACACTGGTGGCTTACGTGTAAACTGTGCAATGTATTTTGGGGGGAAATCTGGTACTATCTGTCGAGGCGGCAGGGAGGACGGCAGAGCTTCCAGCTCTGTGGGGACGACTGGGAGCAGACAGGTGGGCGCCTGAGTTGGCCACACCTGAGATGAAACTGGTGAGAAGGGGCCAGCCCCACCTGCTCTCAGGGAAGGTCCCAGAACAGTCTCCACAGGAAAAAGAAAAACCCTGCCTTCTCCCCACGCACTCTCCGAAACCCACTGCTGGAGAGACGCGGCAAAGACACCAAAAAGTCCAGAGACATCTTGGGTCAGGGAGCCCGACCCCACTGCGGCCCTGTGACCGTCTTTGGACAAAGAGCCCTGGGAAGAGGCCCCAAGTCCCTCTCCTGCACCCGGCCAGGCCAGAAACATCCTGCACAATGAGCTCCCCTCGCGGGAGCTCAGCAGATGGCAGGCCAGGAGAGCGGCGTGGTCCTCGGCAGATGGCAGGCTCCTGTGAACACAAGCATCCCTCCCTCGGCCCGTCACCAGAGCAGATGGTCAGACTGTGGGAGCCACGCCTGAGAGGAGCCGGGGACGGCCACGTGGCCACTCCACCAAACGAGGGCAGACGCAGCTCAGCCCGACCCCGATGCCCAGGGTGAGGAGGGTCCTACTAACCAGGGGCACCCAAAGGGTGCGATCCCCACAGTAGCCTGGCAACCACGGTGCCACCAAAGGCTGCTGAAAATGGCCTTTTCCATCTACAGCCGCTCTGTGCCCAGGACCACCGCTCTGCCTCCAGGAGATCAGAACCCAGCACCCTCCCAGCTGCCCTGGGGAGAAGGCACGCTGGGCTGGGTGTGCCCCCTACTGCCACAGTCCGAATTAGTTATCAACTTTTAAATTCAAGAGCTTTCCTAAAAAAATTGAAACCACTGGCTTTTCCTGAAAGTGGAAGATCGGGTGACCCTGGGTCCACCTTCCTCGATGGCCTAAGCAGCTGGTGTGAAAAAGCCGCCACCCCTTGAGACAGGCACCTGCTCTCAGCTCGCAGCGGTCCCACCCCTGCCAACCCCCTGCCTAATTCTCAGCTCTTGACCCAACAAATCTCTCCACCCCAGCCCTCTGACCCCTTCCTACGTTATCACCTTCCGGGTCCTACTCTGCTCTCTGTGTCCTCCTCGCTGTGGAGCACAGTCCTTGCCATTCCCCCGCCAGCCCCCACGTGGCTTCTCCCAGGAGCCCACGTGGCTTCTCCCAGGAGCCAGGCGGATGGTTGGGTGTGTCGGGAGGCGCTCATTGGCTCTGCGGCAGGGTGGGGTCCTGCCTGGGCTAAACAGGGTTAGTCTGCGATGACTTTGATCCTCACTCACGACAAGAGACAAGCTGAACCCAAGAGTGTGCTCAGGAACCTTCGTAAGAGACCTCGCTGCAACGCCCCAAAGTGGATCTGAAGACAAAGCCCACTGAGTTAGGCAAAGTCCAACCGGGCATGTTCAACTCGTGTGGCAAGGAGCACACACGTCACCACATACTGGTCATGCACAGGTCTAAAGAACCCTGCTCTAGATTAGGACCACACTACAGACTTAGGGGAGGGGAGGACCTCAGAGTTTGAGAACTGGGGTAGAACCCTGGGCTCCTGATATCCTGCCTTCCTCCTCTGCCAAGTCCCCAGCTCTCCTCAGCCCCTGCCTCCTCCATCGCCCTGGTACTCCTCTGCCTTGAAGCACTGTGTTGGGTTACCATGGCGACCACATCTTCCCCAGATGGATGCCCACCGAGGCAGCTGGACCCTCAGCCCAGCCCAGCAAGCTTTCTTATTTTTTAAAGCTCCACGACACAACAGTGGGCTGACCCAGAGGCAGCAGGGGAATTCTGAAGGGAGCAGAGATGCACAGCCCCCCAGGACTGCCGCACTCCTGCTGGCTCTTTCTGGAGTTGAGCACACGGCTCCAGGCATCTCACCCCGTGGTCACATCGGAATCAGAGTGCAGCCAGGGGTCTACCAGTAAGGAAACGGAGGCCAACTAAGTTCATGGAAAATGCCGGGGAGATCACATCACCCCAAAATATACAGCCACTGAAGGGCACAGCAGGTGACAGGGCACAGCAGATGACATCACGGATCACAGAAGCACTGCTCACTTTCTCTTCCCACAAAACCAAGCACAGGGCAGGAATCCAGATGAGGGAGACCGCATCTTTGACTCCACAATGTACTCCCCACAATGGTCTGAAATCGAATCCATCTTCCAGATCCCGCCTTGCCTTCCCCGTCCTCCTCCCAGGTGAGGGCTCTCCAAGGCTGGGTGACCTTGGGCGAGTTGCCTCACCTCTCTGAGGCTCAGTTCCTAAGACCAAGACAAGCTCGTGGCAGCAAAGTGCCTGAAAAATCAGGCTTCTCGCTGTCGTTGACGTCTGAGATTAAGATGGAGCCCTGGTCCCTCGCCTCAGAACGCTCAAATGTCCTTTTTTACTAGTTTCAGAGAACATACATAAAACTCATTCCCATTTCTACCACCTCCTCTGTAGCCTGTAAGCCATGAGCCCACGAGGCTGGGCCCAGCACCTGGGGGTCCTGCTGCAGCTCTGGGACCCAGCAGGGAGCAAGGGCTCCGTGAAGGAGAACGAGACCCCAGAGTGAAAACCGAGGGAACGGAGACGTAGTTGTTATTGAGCCGTTAATGCCATCCACATGAGTAATTGATCGGATAAATCAGGCTACGGGAAGTCAAGGTGGTGGTCACCTTTGGTGGCGTGGGGGCCTAGAAGTGAGCTGAGGGGAGTTTCTGGGGATAGAGGGTTGATAATATCCCACTTCTTGCCGTGGGTACTGGTCACACGGGAGTCTGTGTTAAAATCCACACGTGTTACATTTAGGACTTGTGTGATTTCCTGCATGGTTTACACGGAAGGAGAGATGTCTAACCCTCTGCAAGAGCAGAAGCACACACTGTTCACACTACTGCTGGGTGAGGAGCTGTGCCGGTCACGAGCACCTGTCACCCTGCAGCCCTACCCAGGTGCGGCACGGTGAGGTGCTCTCCTGCACGCCCTATGCAGGTGTTCCGCACACACGTTCTCCATGGGAAGCACTCCGCCTTCTCCTGCCTCCCTCTCTCGGGAGCTGACTGCTCCCCAGCCTCCACCTCTGTCAGGGTTCAAGCTGAGGAGACTCCTTGCTAGCCAGCTGTTCTATCTCTCCCCAAGATAAATTCCAGCTGCATCAAGTATTTCAACACAAAGCCATATAAACACTGCAAGACAATGTCACCATATAGTTCTGTGATTTTTGAACTGGGAAGCTTTGTCTAAGCATGTCACAGAAACCAGAAATTATAAAGGAAAACAGGATCATAGGCGTGATGAGATAGAGACTCTAGACTTTTAGATCAAAATACAAATAAGATCAAGGGAAACAGCAGTTGCGATTAAGACCAAACAGGGGGCTGGGATGTGGCTCAAGCGGTAGCACGCTCGTCTGGCATGTGTGCGGCCCAGGTTCGATCCTCAGTACCACATACAAACAAAGATGTTGTGTCTGCCGAAAAACAAAAAAAAATAAATATTAAAAAAAAAAAGATCAAACAGAAGGATGATAGTCTCACAACATAAAGAATTCCTAGAAATATTTTTTTAAAAAACCTATGAACAGGGCTGGGCATGGTGGTGCGCACCTGTAATCCCAGCAGCTCAGGAGACTGAGGCAAGAGGATTACGAATTCCAACTTCAGCCTCAACAACTTAGAGAGGCCCTTAGTAACTTCCTGAGACCCTATCTCTAAATTTAAAAGGACTGGGGATGTGGCTCAGTGGTTAAGTGCCCCCCGGTTTAATCCCTGGTTAAAATATATATATATATGAACAGAAAAATGGGCACAGTAGGCAAAGTGGCAATTCACATATGTATTTAAAAAATATTAATGAACAGTAAACATAAGGGAAGTTGTTATATTTTAAAGTCAAACCAACATGTGGTATGTCAATCACCTAGACAAAAATTTAAAAGGCAGCCAGGCGTGGTGGTGTACATCTGTAATCCTAGCGGCTTGGGAGGCTGAGGCAGGAGGATTGAGAGTTGAAAGCCAGCCTCAGCAACGGGGAGGTGCTAAGCAACTCGGTGAGACCCTGTCTCTAAATAAAACACAAAATAGCGCTGGGGATGTGGCTCAGTGGTCCAGTGCCTCTGAGTTTAATCCCTGGTAGCCTCCCCAAAATTTAAAAGGCAAAACACGGCACTGGCTTGAGGGCCTACGTAGGATTATGAAGAGGGTGAACTAGAAGAGAAAAAGCTATTGAGGAAAAGCAACCAGTTCAGACACTGCACAGCCTCCAGGGCAGGGAGTGGGCGGGGCAGAGTGGGAGTGGGCGGGGCAGAGCAGGAATGGGCGGGGCAGAGTGGGGGAGTGGGCGGGGCAGAGCGGGAATGGGCTGCATGGCCCCGTGTCCATGGGTGAGCCGTGGGGCCCTGGTGTGGCCAAGCAGAGTCTTCAGGACCAATTCCTCACACGTTAGTCATGGGCAAGGAGGGACATGATGTAAATGACACAGACAGCGGGAAAGGGATGCAACCAAAAAAAAAAAAAAGAGGGAGCCAGTCTCTGCCTGTTTGCACCAAACAGTGGCCACCCAGGATGGCCTGCCTGCGTGCCCCTTTCCTCCCCTGGTCACATGGAATTCTGATCTGACTTCTGATGAACTACAGAGCACCAGAAGACCAAGCAAAGACAACAGGATGTGAGTGGGGATTGGGGGGTGTCTGACGAGGGGAAGACCCCGTGACTCCAAGAGTAGAGCCGGAAAATGGCCAGTGGTGGGACTGTCATGGGACCTGATCACACTAATACGCGGACACGCTCTTTCACGGACACGGGGTGCTATACTGTGTTTAAAAGCTGCACAGTAAGTTCCTCATCTGAGCAAAGTGTCTGGGTTCAAATCCCAGCTCTGCCTTTTACCCACTGTGTGGCCTTCAGCAAGTCCCTCGACCTCACCGAGTCTCAGTTCCTTCAAATGCAGGACAGGGATAATACTAGTGCCTGCCCTCGGCGTGATGTCCAGGGTGAAGCAGAGGGTGTGACACAAATGAAGGAACCAGTCCAGTGCCTGCCGCGCTGCCTCTTGCAGCCCGCAATCGACCACCGCAGCAGCAGACCACTCTGGGTCCTGGGGCCCTCCTGCTCTCGTCACCCAGCACGTGACCCCAAAGCCATGGACGGCCACTTCACCTTGGTGTTTCCCACAGGCTCGGCCCCTCCCCAGTGCACTTTCCCACACACACACCAACATGGGCAGCTGTCCCCACGCACACAACTTCCGGCCACACCGGCCAGGCTCACTCGATCTCTGGCACAGACTAGAAACGGCAACGGAAGCGGCAAGAAGGGAACACCGCAGTCCGCAGGCCATGGTGGCCTCCCCTCTAGGTGTCTGTACGCGTCCCGGCCACATGAGATGTCAATGAGGCTCCCCAGAGATGCCAGAACTCGGGGGAAACTGCACCCCACCAGCACCTGGCTTTCCCACCTCCAGGTGACCATTCTAACGCCAACGCGATCCCCGCCACGCGGTCTCACCTGAGGCCACGACCGTGCCAGCCCACAGCGTGTTCTCGATGCTCAAGCTCTCGCTGATGGACGGGTCACTGTCTTCCTGGAAGAGACCACACAGACTCGTGTTTGTCTACTAGTGTCCCTCGGTCTCTGTGGGGTCTGGTTCCAGGACCCCAGGGAAGCCAAGTCCTGCGCACGTCTCCCGTACAGTCCCGTCATCTCTAGGTGACTTAGAACACGAGCACAGTCCTAGTGCTGTATAAATGGCTGTGGTGCTCACGACAACAACAAAGGTCTCTACACGCTCCATACAGGCGCAGTTTTTTCTGGAACTTTTTAAAAACATTTTATATATATATGACAGCAGAATGCATTACAATTCTTATTCCACGTATAGAGCATAGGTTTTCATTTCTCTGGTTGTATACAAACTATCTTCACACCAATTTGTGTTTCACACCTGTACTTAGGGTAATGATGTCCACCAAGTTCCAGCATCATTTCTAACCCCATCCCCCTTCCCTTCCCCTCCCACCCCTCTGCCCTATCTAGAGTTTTCTGGAATGTTTCTGATGCATGATGTGTTGAAACTCTGGCTGCAGAACCTGCTGGTACAGGGTGATGACCAAACAGGGGCCTTACGGCTTCCAGCCTGCCCTGCTCTAGGCAAGGAGAAGGGCCCCCCATGAATCCGGAGGCCACAGGTGGGAAGCCCACAGCTCAGCCGGGGGAGGGGGCCAGGCCCGTCCACTGCCACACCAGAGTTTTCATCTCTCATGGAAATGTGTGTGAAAGCTGTTCTGTGACATAAAGAGTGGAGATTTCCAACACTAAAGAATTACTGCACAAGGAGAGGTCTAAAGTGCAACAGCCACTACTCAGGCTCTGTGCTGGCCAGGCTGAGGCTTAGAGAAAGAGACCAGAGACAGGGCAGCTGGGGTTCTATAATCTACTGTCTCATATCCTCAAATAACTTAGATCCAAGATTAGCAAGTATTCTGAAAGGTCCAAGAGTGGCAGCGAGGACTTGTATGAAGAGGAGGACTGGGACCCACCTGGAGGGGACAGGGGCATCAGTAACATTAATCACTCCACACTCGGCTCTACGTCATTCAAGCCGTTCTAAGGCTGGGAGAGAATTCTGGCCTGTCAACCTTACTGAGAAAAGATCCCTCTGCTTTCAAGGTGGGGCTGCTGTTAGGAAATCTCAGGCCGGCCCTGAATAAAACCACACTCTGGCAAAGATCCATCAAAGCATCTCCGCTGGCCTCCTCTGCAGGCCTCCTCGGCGGGCCTCCTCCGCGGGCCTCCTCCACAAGCCCCAGCTCAAGCACACTCCAGGATGGGAGCTCCGTTACAGCAAGCTGACTTACTCTGGTAAAAGTCCCCGCGAAGTTGTGAATATCGATGCTTGGCTCTTCTGCATACACGTAGGATCGAATCTGGAGAAGGTCCTGTTCAACAGGGGGGATGTGGTGGGATTAAAACAGAGGTCAGCACGGGGTCCGGGTTTCAGGAGGCACGCACTCTCTTTCCAGAACCACTGTGTTTCCCAAACCCAGCCAACAGGCTCTCAAAATCACAGGGCGGGTAGAAAGATGAGGAAACGCCTCTGTGAAGTTAGTGCAGGGGTCACTACGTCCAACACCCCAAAGCCCGCCGAGAGCCCAGTGACACCCTACGACCTGCGTCTGCCCGGCACTTCCAGGCCCCATGGTGCCAGAGATGCTGCAGAGCCATGAGCACCTCTGTCGTGGGCGGGTGCCCCTCTGCTGAGCTCTGACCAAGGAGACTTGCTCATGCCAATAAAACACTTGCTCACCCAAGAAACAATTAGGCGCCACTTGTGTACAAGGTCCTGGGAAGGAGGCCCTTTCAAGAAAATATGAATACCTCGCAGTCACTAGAGGACCGCCACAAAAACAGTCAAAAATTAAAAATAAAAAAATAAGGGGGCAGCGGGACTAGACCCTGGTGCGCGGCTGGTGAGGACGTGGGGCAGTAAAGCCGCTGTGGAGGACAGCAGGGGTTTCTTCTAAGAATTAAATACAGAATCCCCACGGGACGCGGCAATTCTACTTCTGGGTGTGTGTCCAAAAGAACTGACGGCAGGGACTCAAGACACGGGGACACCGTGTGGGAGACAGCTCTCAGCAGCCGCCACCGAGGACAGAGTCTGAGCAGGGGACCCTCAGGCCATCCCCCCTGTCACTGTACCCAGCTCCCCCCTCACCTCTTTATCTGCTTTGTCTCCTCTCCTCGCCTCCTTTCCTGCCTCTCCTCACCTCCTCTTCCATTTAACAAAGTTCTTCCAAAACCATTATTGCTGACCCTGACCACAGCCCGCCAAGCCAGGCCCTGCAGGCAGAGGGCATCCTGGCCCTGCAGAGGTCCAGGTGAGCTACCACAGCTAACTCCTGAAAAAGGGCAGCTCCTGCCACCAGCCGGTTCTGGCATGGCCCAGTCCTGCCATTTAAAAAGCTTCATCCATCTATGTATGTATGTATCTATCTATCTATCTATCGTCCGTCCCATTTTGCAGTGCTGAGGCTCAAACCCAGGGCCTTGTGCACGCCAGGCAGGCGCTTTACCAATGAGACACACCATGGCCCCTCACCAGTTTCTTTTTACCTCTCCTACACTTGACCTAATTCTTATAGGAAAAAGGAAGCAAGGATTCTCCTATTAGATTCTTCTATTCTCCTACTTCAAAAGCAAGAGACCAGTTGGGCATGGTGCCACACACCTATAATCCCAGCAACTCAGGAGGCTGAGGCAGGAGGACTTCACGCCTCGGTAACTTAGTGAGGCCCTAAACAACTTAGGGAGTCTCTGTTTTAAAAATTTTTTTAAGGGACTGGGGATGTGGTTCAGTGGCAAAGTACACCTGGGTTCAATTCCCAGTATTCAAAACAAAAACAAACCAAGACACCCGATTCTAAACATAAAATTGACTAAAAATATTAAGGGATAGAAAATGGATACACTACGATCTCCACATGTCTTGGAATCGAAAAAGAATGAGGGTATGTGTTACATTTTTAGTGAGCTATCCACATTAGCATGTGCGGATTCACGTGAAAAGCCTGGGTTTCTGATCTCTGGGTTCTCTTTCAAAAACCATCAGGCAAACTGGGAACAACAAAAGCACTCAGCAACAGGGGTCTGGAGTTGAAGCCCGGGGCCAGCCCTCAGGCAAGGCCCAGGCTCCCGAAAACTAGCCCTAAGCATACGTGTTAGAGAACTGATAAGAAAAAGCCCAGAGACACATTAAACCTGGAGGGAGGAAACCTCACACAGCAGTAGAGATCCGTCTGTGTAAGCCACTGCCTGCAAACAGTCGGCATACTAACTGTTGAGAAGGGTCTGAAAGGACCACCACCTGCGTCACATGACCCCCCTCTGGGAAAAGATAAAAGCTGGGGCCAGGCCATGAGCCTCTTCTCACTTTTCCTTCCAGATCTTTCCATACACACAGCTAATAATAATGAAAAGAATGTATTTGTGTATCACTCAGGTAAACTTTTCATATAATTCTCTTAATCTCAGCTTTATTAGAATGCTGCTTCCCACTGAGACCCCTGAGGGCCACTCAGGCCAAGTGTCCCCTGACAGCGGGGACAGCAGATCTTCTCTTCCTCTGAGCCCCAGCCCAGGACGAGGGTCAAAGCGGGTGATTATAAACTGGGAGCTGCTTCCAAAGCACACTAGCAAATACAACTCTACGCAGCAAAATATGCAGGCACCTGTGCTTCTGGGCCCCGGAACAGAGACCTTCAATCATTCTGAGAATCGGAATCCTTTATTTGAAGAACTCTCACCAGGAAGTAAAACACATACCCTAAGTCTGAATCCAGCCTTAAATTGGCTCCATCTCATGACTGTTTTGGGGGATCCTCCACTGTACTTAAAAACTCACTCTTCTAGAATTCCTGGTTCAAAAATTAACAGTCATGCCAGGCACGGTGGTGCATGCCCATAATCCCAGTCACTTGGGAGGCTAAGGCAGGAGGATCACAACTTCAAGGCCAGACTCAGCAATTTAGCAAGGCCTAGGTGAAATCCTGTCTCCAAAAAGGGCTGAGGAAGGCTGGGGGGTGGTGACTCAGGGGCAGAGCGCTTGCCTGCATGTGTGAGGCACTGGGTTGGATTCTCAGCACCACATATAAATAAATAAAATAAAGGTCCATTGACAACTTAAAAAATACTTTTTTAAAAAAAAGGACTGAGAATGTAGTGCCCCTGGGTTTAATCCCCAGAACCCCCCTCCAATAAAAACCAGTTATGAAGGGTGCTACCTCATTTTTTTATTAGCCATGAAAAACCACCAGTGCGGTGCCATGTTTATGGTTACGTTAACTGTACTAAGACCCAAAACTTTGGCCTGCCTGCTCCCTTCCCACTAGACGGCATCAATCCACGTGACAGGAACACAGGACAAGTTGTACTTAACCCTTCCAGAACGCCGGTGGGCAAGTCAACCTCTGGGCATTTAAATCACATTTGGCCAATACTGTGGCCATCTGTCAGCACCCACTGTCCCATGCACTGGGGGTACAGCAGGGTCACCAGGAGCAGCTGCTCACAGGGAGTCAGCCTGGAGGTGGGTGGAATGGGAATGCCAGGGGAAAATGGCCAGAAAATAAGACACTTGTGCAGGACACCTATGTGACACCTACATGCCATCTATGTGACACCTACATGGCATGTATATGACACCCACATGGCATGCTGGATATACCGGGCCAGGCAGACCTGAGGTAAGAGGGTTTCTGGGGAGCAAACGGCAAGGGCAGATGTCCAAGGAAGAGGCATGCTTGACCAAGAGGCCAGTGGGCAGTGGAGAGGGGCAGAGGGCAAGGTCAGAGACGAGCACCATGCAGACGGATGGTGTGGGGCCCCTGAGCAGGGAATGACACGCTCTGATTTCCCTTTAATGTTCTGCCGGGCAGCTTGTCCAGCTCTCCTGCGACTCTGAGCCACCCCAGAAGGAGCTCGGGTCCTGCCTGTGGAATCTGCCCTGGACACGGCCACACAGGAGGGAACTGAGGAGCCGTGGAAGTTCTCTGGGATCCCACAGTCCCCCGCCAACCCCCATGCACATCTGACGTCCCCTGTTGGCCCTGGAGGGCATCTGAGCTTGAGAGCCCTCCTATGACCTGGTGGCCGCGCGCACTTCTGTAGGGAAAGCTACTCACGGCGGCCGTGGGGAGCCTCTGTGTGCAGGCCACAGGCAGTCGCAGCTTCCAGTCCGTCTCCCCATCCAGCTGATCCGTCCGCAAGAAGCAAGACCCTGTGGAGGGAAGTTGGGGACTGTCCAGTTACTCAAAACCCAAGAATCCTTCCTTGGCTGTTCTAAGCGCTCCTTACAAAAATGGCCGTTTGATGGCCAATGACCCAAAGAGAAAATAAATACCTTCCTTCCCACTTCCTCCATAAGCTCTGAGACAAAGATCTGGGTTCAAGCCCTTATGCCACCATTCTCTCCCTGTGAATCTAGTTTCTTTTTCTTCTTTTTTTTTTTTTTTGCTTTAGTACTGAGGATTGAACCCAGAGACACTTTACCACTGAGCCACACCCCCAGTGCTTTTTATTGTTTATTTTGAGACGAAATCTCACTAAGTTGCAGAGGCCAGCCTCAAATTTGCGATTCTCCTGCCTCAGCCTCCTGAGTCTCTGGGACTACGTGTGTGTGCTGCTAGTTCACTGACCTAGCTAAACCACAATATGTCCTCATTTTAAAACTGAGAAGAACCTGCCTTCACAGCTTATTGTAAGGACTCAGTAATGGTCCAGTGGCTGGCACAGGGTGGCTAGCCCTGAGGCCGTGCTGGGAGGGGTTATGACCCCTTCCTCAGGAACCAGACCATCAGGGACAGATCCCAGCCATGCTGCTCACTGGCTTCCTGTCCTAAGAAGGAATGTGCCCTCTCTGAACCTGTCCCCTGTGTAGAAAGTGAGACAGTCACAGTGCCAGCACCCAGGGAGGTGAAGGCCATCAGGTGTGTGCTCGCCCTGCTGACTCTGCAGTGCAGACCGAGAACCCCTGCAGCAGAACTCCCATCACTGTGGAAGGTGGCCGGGGCGCATCTGGCCCTAAGCCACCGGCTGTCTTCAATGAGCAGGACCCAAGAACCAATTCAAGGCTAACTGCTGCAGTTTTTAAAAGACTGTTTTCATCTAGTGCATTCTGTCCCCTCTCCCGGTTACATAAATATTATTAGTATGAATTTTTACCTTTACTTTCAGTCAATTCATAATTAAATAGTTTGCAACAATCTTAAAGGAATATGAATGCCCATTTTTCAGATGTTCAAACATCTCCAATTGGGCCAGATTGGGGCGGGGCTTGTTTCCTTAGAACAACTTAAATAAAAAGGCAGGCAGGCAGCCTGCTAGGGAGTAACTGCCACAGGTGAGGGCCGTGGAGGCTTGAGATTCACTGCAGTAAACAGTGAATAGGAGCAGAGGAAGCCACTGCAGAAAACGTGCCTACCCCTTCCCAGTTTCTGTATCCGCCCATCTCACACAGCCACTGGTGTCGCCTTCCATGAGAAAGATTCCTGTCTGCCTCTGTTCAACACACTTCCTGTCCACCGTCTCCTGAAGTTGAGCCTAACACAGCCCAGAAAGGGGGATGGGGGGTGAAAATCAAGGCTTGTGGGTGTGGCTCTGTTGTGGGCGTGGCTTCACCAGATGTCAGTCATCAGGGCTCCAACTACCATTTTAATGACAAAAATCTAATAATGAACACTTTCCATTTTAAAAGACTGCTCTACTATGAAGAGGTTTTTGATTCACCTTCAGGGCTCCAAAATGATATCTACACCTCGGCTGCATTTTCAAATGATTATTTTGCCAAATTACCACTGAAAGGTTAACGGTTACGTTCCACATTGATCTCAGATGTTTACCATTTTTTTCTGATGTCCTCAGGAAGATCATGTCAGCAGGGACCCGCTGGTTCTGTGGTAGGAAAAGGAAGACTGTCATGGTGGGCAGCCATGGGGTCTCCAGCCACCCCGAGGCAGGAGGCCAACCGAAGCCCACCCCTCTTTGAAGTTTCTGCTTTTGTCAAAGACAAATTTGGAGGGTCATTTTGTTTGGGATCTGAGGACAATGGCGGGCTGCTGGTGCTTTACACGCCCCTAATAAAATCCCATCTCAGGAAGGAAGCTCCCCGTTTTCCTGCAGATGCAACCAGCACCCACTGGAACCCCAGCCAAGTCGTGGGCCGAAGCCGCTCCGAGGCTGGCACTCCTCCAGGTGTCTGCAGACACCCCGGGGACACCCAGCTCACCCTTCTGCCTCTACCCATCCCCAGAGCGATGTCTGGATTTAAGCGGGATTTTAATAGGGAAGTGGAAGGGTAAGAATGGACAAAAGCCTTTCTTGAAACAAAGAGGAAACTGATAGCAGCCCCCACAGAGCTACCAACAGAAGAGCGTCTGACAACACGCGGCTCTGAGTTCCACTCCCCTCAATCGACCTTGAGTTCTTGGATTTCATCCTTTTAAAAGGGCATAGTTCAGTTCCTACAGAAACGAGGTAGCACGAAATCCTTTTCTAATCAAATATTATTCCAAGATTCTCCAGGGCCACCCCAAAAATCTCACACCTTCCAGACACACATAGTAAAAAGAGATGTGTTTGCTGAGGCAACAAACATTAACAGGGCTATTTTTAAAAATGCATTTTTGGACATTTTACTGTTCGCATGTTAAACTTCACCCCTGACCTCATAAAATGGTTGGCAGGTACAATGTGTGAGTCAGAAAATGCAAGCTAATATTGCTCAAAAGGATGATTAGATAAGTATTTCTAAGTATCAAGCAAACTTAAAGGGAAGATTTTATTTACGTACTTTTTATTTGTATTTTATTTTGTACCAGGGATTGATCCCAGGGGCCTTAACCACTGAGCCACATCCCCAGCCCTTTTTCATATTTTATTTAGGGACAGGGTCTCACTGAGTTGTTTAAGGCCTTGATAAATCGCTGAGGCTGGCTTTGAACTCATGATCCTCTTGCCTCAGCCTCCCAAGCCACTGGGATTATAAGTGTGCGCCACCACACTTAGCTGGAAGATTTTATTTGAATAAAAAAATTTTAAAGCCCAAATAATAAACATGAAAAAAGGACATCAAAACCTGTACTTGTAGGGGTGTTTGAGTTTCCCCTCCCCACCCCCAGTACTGAGAATCAAACTTGGGGCCTCCTACATGTGAGGCAAGCACTCTACCACTGAGCTGCCTTCCCAGTTATTTCACTTTTATTTTGAGACGGGTCTCACTCAGTAGCCCAGGTTGGCCTTGAACTTGTGATCCTCCTGCCTCTGTCTCCCAGTAGCTGGGATCACATGCGTGCATCACTGTGCCTGGCTATGGCTGTACATTTCACAAGCAGGATTTCTTTCTACCCAATTCACATAAACCTTGAAAAAATATTTTGTTTATCTCATGGCAAAGAGATTTTTCTCCCAAGCAAAGACACTGGATAGAATCCAAAAAGCATCATTCAATTTGTCTGCCCGATACGCACACGACCGCGGACTCCCTGTGCAACGCGCTCACCCCGAAGACCAGCCCAGGACGAGCGTCCAGCCCCGCTCACCTTTTCAACGATGATGAGATCTCCCACTTGGATGCTGGAACTCTTCACCTTCATTGTCCCTGCAAAGCAACAGGCCAACACATCACTGCCACAATGCATTTCAACACAGCTCCATCGCTCTTGGAGCCTTCCAGGGGCACAGGAAGTGCCCTGATGCACGGCACCCTCCAGTAGCATCTCCTGGCTCCCCAAGAAAAGGGTCCCTGCTGCAGAGACAGACACTGGGTCCTACCTCACAGGGCACTGAAATAACTCATGTCCTTCCAGAAAGACCACCTGTCTTAACGGGGACTGAGACTTCCCAGGTAGCTACAAGGGATTCTATTTTGCCTCAAAAGGGAAAGGAAAAGGGACTGGGGCTGAGGCTCAGGGTAGCAAGTGTGAGGCACTGGGTTCAAGTCTCAGCACCACATACAAAGAAATAAAATAAAGGTCTATCAACAACTAAAAAATTTTTTAAATATAATTTTTTTTTAAATAAAAGGGGGCGCTGGGATTGTGGCTCAGTGGTAGAGTTCTTGCCTAGGACGTGTGAGGCACTGGATTCAATTCCCAGCACCACATATAAATATTTAAATAAAATGTCCATCAATGACTAATAGAATATTTTTTTTAAAGGCAGAGGGACAAAATTAAGAGTCAGATCCAGGAGAAAAAGTGAAATTTTAATTTTAATTTTAATTTTAATTTTCAACAACACCAGCAGCCCCCCTCAAAAAAAAAAAAAAGCTAAACCAAAATGAGTGATTTACTTTTTTTAATTTCTTTAAGATGTTGACGAACCTTTATTCATTTACTTATATATGGTGCTGAGAATCGAACCCAGTTCCTCACACGTGCTAGGCAAGCGCTTTACCACTGAGCCACAACCCCAGCCCTGATTTACTTTTTAATGGACAATTGCTATACACTTTGGCTACGATGATGATCGGACTACACGATTTTTATTAAATGCTTATCTGAATCAACAAGCAAAGGTAATATCACACACTAACGCTGTGCTAAGCACTAATATACACACTGCCAGCGCCTTTTTACCCTGTGGTCACCATCAGGGGACGGTCTCGTCTCCAGCTTCCTGACAGAAAAACCCACAAGTTCAGGTCAACTCAAAAATGATTCATAAGTGCTGTGTCCTGGGGTTAAAGATAAAAAGATGGTCTTCGTAGCTCCCCAGCCAGTGGCCGAGCTCAGAGTGACCACATGTGCAGTGGTCAGGGCCGGACGGTGAGGAGTCCAGGCTGCGGGCCAGGAGGCGATGCCCTCAACCCGTCCCACAGCTCTTTTCCCAAAGGGCTCTGACCCTTTTGCACATTTACATTTCACATTTTAAAATGTGAAAAACATTCTTTGCCTTCAGGCTCTACAAAAACAAACAAGGAGCTGAACGTGGCCACGGCCGTGGCTGCCAACCAAGATCTAGGTCTAGTGACAGCCAGACGCACGTGACAACAGCAGTGCAGGGAGTCCAGTGTGCTGGGGGGCTCGGGAGGCCAGTGCCCAGCACAGAGAAGGCCCGTTTACTAAATGCCTGCTGTATACCAGGTGCTCTGAGGGCCGAGGGTCCACGGAACTCACACTCTCGAGGGCAGAAACAGCAAATGAGCGAGCTGGGGCTTGGAAGGGGGTGTCCACAATCCTTTGTAGGAGAGTTGGGGCCAGAATTAGCCATGTGAAGGACACGGTGTTACTGGGAACCGATAAAAACCCAGCCTGAGAGACGAGAGAAGGGTGCACATGTACGCAGCATGCCCGTGGCTAACGGCTGGGGTTCTCGTGGGGGGGTTTGTGGCAAGTAGGGAATAGCAAGAAAAGAGGTGCAAGGTCTGACCTGAGCCGGACGGTCCAGCACCCTGTGAGCACACCACAGAGGAAGCGGACCTTCTGTCTGGTCGGATTCTCATACAAGGAAACAACACCATAAAATCTTCACCAGTTACTGGTGTCCTGTTTACTTTGCAGATGTTTAGCTGAGACACAGAGAAAAAATAATAAGCAAACCTCAAAAACAAAATGCCCCTGAGCAAAACCATGCCTGGGGACCATGATCACTGTGCCCTCGGCACACCTGCTGTCCACAGTAACTGGCGCTCACCAGCATCTCCCACTTGAATTCCGGTCACTTCACAGAGCACTGAAAGACATGCTGGAATAATCTGTGTGCACGACTCTATGTTTTCATTAATGGTGCATATTTTAAGTGGTTTATGACCACAGACATTTTTCAAAGCATTCAGATGTCAATTCAAATGACTCTCTGCAATAATAGCCACAGAGTTTGATTCTAAACAATCCTGGCATTTTATTCAACCTGGTTATGTGAACCATAAGCAGGGCTGCCACCACAAGTTCTACACACAGATATTATGACTTCTAGAAAGATCTTGGGACTGCCGGTGCACAGCTCTCAAACTCACCCTAGTAGGAGAGCCTCTAGCATAGAGTGGTGCCTCATTTCCTAAAATTGATGCTGACCCCATCCAGTGGCTGAGCCCGGGGAACACCAGGGAGACCCACAAGCCTCAAGTTTCATTGTCTCAGGCTTTGGTCAATACATTTACAGAGAGGCTGGCCAGCGGGCCCTAATCCAAACAGTACAGCTGCATCTGCAGGGCATCAGTTCCAGGACCCCCGTGGAAGCCAAACTCGGGGGGGGGGGGGTTCAAGTCCCTTATACATTGCATAGAAGCTGAGCACATCCACATCTCTCATTATTTTGAATGATCACTCTAGATTACTTAGGGTGCTCATACCATGTAAATACGTCATACTGTTTAGAGAATAATGACAGGGAAAGTTTTCAACTGGCCCACACCACAGCAACCCCTGTAGACCCCTCCCCCTGCACACTGGCCACAATGTAACACTTCTGATGCAACCTGGGTGGAAAGGGAGGAATAGTCTGCAGAGCTGAGGGCCCTGGAAGAGGGGTAGGTAGAGAGAACTCTTTGACTGACTGAGCAACCTTCTCTGGCTCCACTAGGGGGCAGCCACGGGAGCGGGCAGGGACCCAGCCTTCTTTCCGGTGGGCTCAGGAGGCTCTGCTTGGAGGAAGGTCATAAATTCAACCTGGCCCTCAGCGCCAATGAAGTTCCCCTCACCTGAGCCTGCCCCAACTTTCCCAAACATAAATTTACACATTGTCTTTGGGGTTTATGAGTTAAATTTAGGCTGCTGGCCTTTCTGAACAACCACACCTGGGTTCAGATCCTGGGGACTGCGTTACAAGTTAACTCGAAGGCAAGCACAGGTTTTAGCTCTGGCTAAACAACAACTGCTCATGTATCGGTCCATCCGTGAGCAGGACGGAGAACAAAATCAGGAGGCCTCTCCGGAAAGGCCTGGTCATGATCCTGGAGATGCAGGATCTAAACCGCCCTCTGGCATAGATATTTTCTAAATTCTTCATTAAATAAATATATATATATATATATATATATATATATATTTTTTTTTAGCTGTAGATGGACACAGTATCTTTATTTATTGTTATGTGGTTGCTGAGGATCGAACCCAGAGCCTCCCACGTGCAATGCGTACTCTCTACCACCGAGCCACAGCCCAGCGCCCTAAATTCTTCATTTTTTACCGTAAGCATGAGGTTGTTTTCTAAGAAGAAAAAAAATAATAAGCTCAGGTTTTTTTAAGTGACCAGGCCCAGATTTTTCCCCTTCTACAACAGAGGCCTGATTTACGATCAGTTAATTTGAACTGTGCCTCCCTCTGTCCATCTGTTCTACCTCAACAAAAAACCCTTTAATCCACCGTGTTTGCAGAGCAGTTTGTGAGTCACCCCAGCAGGCCGATCCTTCATGTGAACACTCCAGCCATTCCTGCCCATCAGCCAAAGACCTCCCCTCCATCTCGGGGGCCAGGGGAGCCACACCACCACCAGGCCACTGGTGCTGCTGAGCTGGGTTTGATCATTAGCATCCAGGGGAGGGGAGTGAGTCTCAGCTTTACAGCTTCAACGCAGAGAGACTTCCAGGCTCCCACTTGATTTCACCAATGCAGGATGCTTGGTGAAATAAATCTGGACTTCCCATCTCACGGTGCCATTTCCTTGTCATCAAAAATACGTAATTCAGGGCTCAGTGGCAGAGCGCATCTCAATGAAACATGGCCATCTAAGGACTCCTGGGCTGGGGTAGGGAAGGCGCAGTCTGGTAGGGAGAAAGACAATCGGAGGAGAGAGGGGCCCAGGTTAGATGTGAGGAAGAGCTGCATACTCTTATCTGGGATCCGCTCCCAGAATGAAAAAAAAAAAAACTTCAGATTATGTGAAGGGCCACAAACACGCACTATCTGACCTTCCATCAACCACCTTTCTGAGTCTTCAATAAAGGTTCTTACAAAAAAGAGGAAGAAGAACAAGATAACAAGATACAGAGAAGCCATCTGGCAGAGCTTCCTATCTTCCTAACAAAGTCTGTGGAGAAAGAAAAAAATAACACTTTCACAGTGATTGTTACAGATCTCAAAAGATAGCCAGCATTCCCTGCAGCCCACTGAGCTGGGAAAAAACATACTGCACTCTTCCTGGGTACTCTGATGCTGGGTGTGCTCTACTATTTTCATTAAAAAAAAACAACCCAAGGGTCCTGCAAATTATACAGCGGGTCAGCAAGGAAAGTAACAGCACCCTGCAACCTCTTTTTAAAGTACCCAGGAAGACATGGCCCTATCCCGGGAGAACCCTGCATTTCTCCCTTTTGGGTCCCCTAAGATCCCAGACCCCATTTCTAGGCTCTAGGTTTGCAACTACCTAAAAGTTGGGTACGAGATTTTTGCAAAAGTGGAAAGTTCTTTCCCCGCCACATCCCAAATCACTAAATGTCTTCCAATAAATTCATCCCTTCCAGCTTTCGCCACTTCACCCGAGTGGCCATGCGGGCAGTTTATTATGGGCAGCAAACTTCCACTTACTGGAGCTATTTGTTTCTACAGAGGCGACCCCAAGCCTTTCATAAGCAAATCCACCGAGTCCACCCCAGGCCTTTCATGGATGACAGCTTCAGAATAAGAGCAGTTTGTCTACATTGCAGGGAGAAACCAGATG